ATGCTTTTTTTTTTTTTTTTTGTGCCTTTTTTTTTTGCCCATTCTGGAATCCAAGCACTTCAACTTCTATCAGAAGCTTCTTTGAGGCTTCCTTCTATTGAATCAATTCCCAACTTCTTTTATGATTATTTATTGTGTACTCTTGGTTAATTTCTTAATGTTTTATATCGGAATACTTTAATAAGAGTACTTATTTAATTTTTTTAAGGAGAGAGATCGCTATGCATACAAGATCCACCTTCCAGAAACAGTAGAACAACTGAGAAAATTCAATGCAAGAAGGAAACTAAAGGTAAAATGAATCTGACATTAAGACAGATGTAATTGTAGTAACTTGAATTTTTATAGCTTTTTAATTTTTAAAATATAAAGAAAAGAATCTAATACCAGATTCTGTTTGAATGAAACTTTGTATAAGTATCAGAGACCCCATTTATCTACAAATGATGAAACAGCAGGAGTTGAAATTAATGCCAGCAGTGCTTTAATTTGCTTCAGTGTCATACCAAAGTCACTACTCATCTCATTTTGGTCTTCTGGATTCACTTAAAGTTGAGTGTTTATAGAATTAAATCAATCCAAAATATAAAGTTTGAAATATTAATTAAGTCCAGTGATCATTGGTTTATTGTTCTGCATCTGTCTGAAATAGTGTAATTGGCTAAAATCAGATTATCTTGTCCTGAATCAAGATAAGATATTGGGACAAACACAAACCAACTGTACTGTAAGAGAAATTAGAAAAACACATCTGTTTGAAGATCTGTCATTGGCAGCCACTGATCTCACGAGACCATGGAGAATTGTGCCTTTGGTAGTTTACCACAGTTTCTTCAGTGGCTGAGGAGTCCAGTGCACGACAAGCAGATCCTCCAGCAAGTTACACATAAAAACTCGATTGAACTTGCACTGGCATGCCAAGTACCTTCTTGTCTTGCCTGCCTCTGACACCTCTTCTCTATCTCATCATCAAAACCCCAAAGTCTGCAAAGTCCCACAAATATTTATTAGTCTAACACTTTTCAGTATACAATTGTTAGGCTCTGAGGTAGAGGATTTATTTATTGGTCCATCTCTTCTTTAGTCTTTGAAGATGGACTAAGAATACTTTTTCATGGTGGGGAAGGAATTGTGTTTTTCGTTTTCCTAATAAATTCTAAGCATAACTTTTAAACTATGAAAACTATTACTGCAGTCTGTTTTGGTCCTTTAGAGCATTAACCAGTTTACAAAATTCTGTCTTTCATGTGCCAGAGTATATTTTAATTTTTAGTATTAAATTTTAGTTGTGATGTTGTATGTTTCGTGTCCTCAGTTGTATCAGGACATGAAACATCAGGTGTATCAGGACAACAAAAGAATAAACATCTGTCTGGCTTTAACCAACATGAAATAAGGAAGTCCACCATAAGGTGTTCATAAAGGATATAATGATTCTCTTTGGTTTTCTGGGGGTAGGTTGTACTTCTTCACAAAGGGGTACTTTCAAATATGTCCCCTAAGCTTTTAGTTGCATATAGGAGCAATTTCCAGTTTTATGGGAAAGAATGCTGCCATTCTGTGAAAACACTACATAGTTTCCATTCAGAATCATCATAAAGGAAGGGTTTCAACTTGAACCTTGTCTAGGTTCACCAAAAGATTCAAGAAGTCATTTACCAAGCTGTGCCAAGTTTTACCATTTGTAACAAAATCCACAGTCAAATGAATTTTTATTTTTGGGGGGAAATCTATACCTGAGTAACAAGTGGGAATGAATTAAAGGTCATGCTTCTTGATAGATTAATAATTTCCATCTAGGCTAAAATATGATCTGTAAGTGCATTTTTAAACACAACTTACCATACCTATACTACTTCTTCCCAGATCTATGAGCCACTGTCTGGTATTATCATTCAATGTGTGGATTCCATTTACCCCATCTGTGCATTTGTAAAGATTGCAGATTTTAATTAAATGCTGTGCTGTTTGTTGAGCATTGCATTCAAACAGGGGACAGTCCAAGATGTTCATCTTGTGAAGTGGTATTTTGAAGCATCCGTATCTGGATCTCAGTCTATTCAGCTTGACCCATACTTCTCTGTCAAGGTTGTACCCAATGGGGTTCTTGTTTGGTGTTGGTATAAAATACTGTAGAAATAGATCTGACCTTTCCCAGCGGTTGGCCCATAAGATTGATTCAGCATCCCCATTCTCTTCCAGGAGCTTCATGTACAAACAGTTTATGACTTTTAAGCCTCTTAAGCCTCCATCAGTTTGCGTCTTCAGTTAAGGGTTGGAGCAGGTGATTTTCATCATCTCTTGCCTGTATTGGGAGTAGTAAAGCTAGGGTATGTCGTCTTATATCACTTGGCTTAGTGCCCAAGAGTACAAGGAGTATGTTAAGTTGTGCAGCCTGTTACGAGTCTCAGTGCAGTTAAGTAGTGTCAAGCTTTTTAATGTGACAACTTCTGCATCATAGAAGAGCACAATATTCTGCTGGGGCATATACCATTGCAAGGGCAGTGGTTCTGAGCACTTTGAAGTTGACACCCCATGGTGTTCTGGCTAAAAATCTTAAGGCAGCTGCTACCTGTGCAGAGATGTTACTGCTAACCTTCTGAATATGATGTCTATAGGTGAGGGAACAGTCTAATGCAACTCCTAGGTAGGTTGGAGTATACTCATGGGGAAGGATGTGGTTGCCTGCTCTTGATAGTCAGTGTGGTTGTGGCTTGATGATTTTTCAGGTGGAAAAGTGAAGATACTGATTTAAAGTCTGAGGTATATACATTGAAAAGTATTGTTGCTAGCATTGACCCTTGGGAGACTCCATTCTTCAGAGTTTGTATTTTGATTTTTTTCTCCTTGGCTGGTATTGAGTTGGAATGACCTGCTGGGGATCGTGTTCATGATGAAAGCACATGGCTTATGGTCAGGTGTCATAGAGCAGTGTTTCTCAATCTGTGGGTCATGACCCAAAAGTGGGTCTCAGGAATATATGAAAGGGTTGTGATCAGACTTTAAAAATGGATCAACAAACTCTAAAAATGGATTCTCCTTTAAAGGAGAAAACCATGGGAAACTGTGGCTTTTCCCTTGCAGGCTGGCAGAGTCCCAGCCTCCAAGGGATTGCTTGGGGCCTTCCCTTGGTTCTGGAGCAGTGGGTTGGGAGTGATGGGCACCAGGTTGGGACTGGTCACTGATGCTTATAAATGGGTCCTGGTACAAAAAAGGTTGAGAGTGACTGTCATAGAATACAGTTTATATTTGAGGCCTTGATGCCATGTAGTGTCATGGGTGGCTATGAGGTTGATAAAGACAGCACCTGTTTTCTATGTCAGATGTAAGTAATGTAATTTGATCAGTGATACACTGCTTTGTCCAAAAGCCAGCTTGTTCTTTAGGGAGCTGGGAATCAATGATGTTGTCTATTCTACTCGGGATGATGTGCTCTCAATAAGTTTGTATGTAATGCAGAGTAACGAGAGAGGTCGGTAGCTCTTTGGATCCTCTGATTTATTGGGAGTCAAGATAGTAATGCCTACACTGCCTGCAAAATACTGCTTTAAACTGTATTAGTTAAAACATATTAGCTAGTATTTTTACACTCAATATTTTCCTGGTCAGGTCATGGTCTTGGTTCGATTCTTAAGGTTGCTCTGAAAGCAAACCTGCCACCTTAGCCTCTTGAACTTGTAGATGTTCAGTACTGTACTATACACTTCGTTGTATTGTTGTTCAGGTTTCCTGAAACTGCTCACTGTTCATTGAGCTTCATGTCATATAAGAAATGCCCTAGCAAAGTTGTGCCTGTGTGTTTCCCAAAATAAAAGTATCCCAGGATTGGTGTGTATGCACATCTCCCTTCTAGTCAGGATTATGTGAGCAGCTGAAGGCAGTGCTACTTTTCTGCCAATTAATTCAATGATAGTCCCAAGATAACTACAGATATATTTAACATATCCTGAGTTAAACTGTTACTACCTCTTATTAGTGAAACTCTTTGTAGGATTGATCCAAGGATACAGCCATGGATGTCTATACATTTTCGGTTTGTTTTTGATAAAATGGTTCATCCTAGGATAAATATGACATCTGTTTGTACCCTTAGTACTTTATTATTTTCTAAATTTGGAATTCCCCACATAATATTCATTCTGGGTGCCTGACCTTATTATATTTTCATAAAGTTATTTCTGTACCACACTATAAGAGAGTCCATTTCTGTTTTCTGACTTTTCCCAGAATTAAACATATCTTCAAACTTTAGTACTTTTTAGTTGTTGTGTAATATAATGAGTTGTTTGTTGCAACAATTAGTACTACTTGGTGTTCCAGAATTGCAGTTGTTCTCAAAGGATGAAGACAGTTGTACCATCTTATTTGTATTACTCTATCAAAGTAATTTCCCTTTTCTTACTCTAGGGATAGACCACAACCAGCCCTACATAAGGTGCAGAAGTGAGAACAAGAAAATTCAAAGAACCTTGTCTCACTTTGTGCATCCCTGCTCTGGAGGCATCACAGTTGCAGTCCTTGTGCAGTCCTTGTGCTCAAGGAGTTCAAAAACTGTTCCAGGTTGCCATCTGAAGCTTAGCCTACCCAGAGTGGGTGAGGAGAGAAGAGATTGTAACTGCAGCTGCCCACTTTACCTGCAGCTCATAGGGTGGAAATAGATGTTACCTTTCATCACCATTGTGGCCCCATAAAACTGTTTATGGTAGCACAAAGGCTAAGCACACAGGTGCCCATACCTCGTGTCGCCCCACAAATAGTGGCCACAATGAAAGTGGTATCAATCTGTGTCTCTGTTTAGCAGCAGATGTCTATTTACTTTATGGCACTACAGCCTGAACAGGTGCCTTGGGAGCTTGAGGAACCCAATCCTATGTACACCAGAATTCTTCCATGATTTCGGGCCCTTCAAGCCCTAAAAGCACCTGTCTGGCTTTCCCTACTTACTGAGATATGTCCCTGGGATCTTCAAGGCATGTCTCATTAAGCCTGGGAAGTGGGGGTTTCCCCATTTACTACAGAACACCCTAGAGATTTTGGGGGCATATCTCAGTAAGCAGGGAAAGCCAGGCAGGCACTCCCAGGGCTTGAGGGTCCAATCCTGCACAGAAATTCCAAGATTACACAAGACAGGGCTTCTCAAGCCCTGGGAGAATGTTGCCTGTTGTCCTGTAGCATCAATAGATGAGACAACAAGCTATGTTTCACCAACTGAAGATGATCAGCTGTGCCAGGACACATCCTAGCACAGCCAATCTGCAGGAGGAACATTTGTGGGATGGAGGACCAGATCCCAGTCACACCCTATTACCAGTGCAGGGGAAGCGTGGCAAGTAGCAAGCCAGATGCTTGGTGGTCCCCTGGCTGGGCATGCCGATCATATGATCAGCACTGGCCACATGTTCAGTCTAAGGCACGATGGGAACCAGCCACAAAGGTTTATACACACCATTAACTGCATGAACTTGTGGTTGGGTTAGTACTTATACATGATTAACTGGTTAATCACGTCCTAAGTGTTACAGCTACCAGAGGCCTAAATGTCTGCAAGGTGGATTAAGTTCTGGTCCTTAATGTATGTCTTTAGATGTTAATATTCTAGGCAGAAATCTTCATTAATCATCCCTTGAAATTAATAAATCTATTAAAACTAACATGTCCATAAAAGCATTACTTTCATCTCAGATACACCAGTGTTACCAAGGAAGGAGCCCCTAAAACAAATAACTAAAACTTTAAAGGTGACAGCTGCTTTCAGCCGTAGTGCAAATTTGTTCTGCATATGTATATGTAGTTGATTTACTAAAAGATTCTTCTTCTTTGTGTGAGTTGTTTGCATAATTAAGAAATTTGCTGTTATACTTCCATGATGCATCACAATAGGTCATCCTGCCATTTGATTGTAACAGTCCAAAAACACAAGGGAATTTGTTTCTTTTTAAATATGACAGACGGCTTTCTAATTTATTCCATTTTTAAAATGGTAAGAACTTTGAGGGAGTACAAAATGAAGTGGGGAGTGCAGATATTTCTATCACAATAACTCATTCTCTCAGATTAGTTTAATACTCTCCTGAAGTCTGAACTAAAATGAGATCAAAGGAGACCACATCAAAGCTTGCACTTGCATGTCTGGAGCCCTAGCGAGACACCTCAACCACTGTTCCTCTGCACCCAGTGATTGCAGTGTAGTTGACTTTTAACACTGTCAATCCCTTTCTAACCATGCAAGACAACTGGATTCCCCTGGATGGCTACCATTGGCATGACAGATGGCACCCTGCTTTTTCATGAATTCATTCAACATGCTCATTTCTGAGTAGCCGTTATCTTCTTATGAGGTTTCAAGACAATAGCTCTACCTTTGGTCTCTCAGCTTGATGTCATTTGCAGTAATGTGGCCCTGTAGATAGAGGAGAGATTTCATGTTTGCTTACTCCAACAGTGCAGGGAATCTTGGGTGCTCCCGTTCTGAGTAACTGAGAATGTTTGGAAGTGTTGTGCTTCTCGGCTGCTGGTAACTTAGACTTCTTGTTTTTTATTCAGGGGGCAGTACTAGCAGCTGTATCAAGCCACAAGTTCAACTCCTTCTATGGGGATCCCCCTGAAGAGCTGCCAGACTTCTCTGAAGACCCTACCTCCTCAGGTAAATAATTTCATTGGAAGTATACTTATCTCTCTCATTCAGTTTTTTTAACTGACTTCAGTCCTGTGCATTTGGTAATTCTCTGTCTTTCATAAAGCTGCATGTTAAGTTAGAATTGAAATGTGATGATTTCAGTAGCTTTAATGACTCGGAGAACTTTCAAAAGAATAATTTTATAGAGTGGTACAAGCCAGCCTTCTGGATTTTTATTCAGCCTAAGGGTATCTTTATATTTATCTGCGTATGTTTCATAAGCCTGAGAGTTTCTTCAAATTCTGATTTCTGTCATTGGGTACACGTCAGATTCCCCTCTTCTAATATTTTTCATTATGTGCATCTTTATCAACTGAAGTATGTTGTTTTCCTTTTCTTAAAGAACCATGTTAAAAAAATATTTGTACAAGACAGTTAATGATTTGTATAAATAAGCATTTTATATAACTGGAGGCAAGCAGAATTACTTGTGGTTATTGCAAATGTTCTTAAAAGCTAAATAGTATTTTAAACCCAGATATTATAGCATTTATCAATACAAGAACCTGAAAGGTTAGTTTACTAGAATAGCAGTTGGCAACATTTCAGAGGTGCAGGTCAAAACAACCCAGTTTGGGCTTTTCCTTGCTGCCACTTCTCCCTGCCCCTGACTACAGCCCAGGCACAGCTCCCAGCCACTTCATCCCAGTGCAGGCATGGGCAAAGCCCTCTGCCACTGGAACACTGCTAAAGCCCTCTGTTGACAACAGGCTGCTGAAGTCCCCTGGCTCCATAGGCTAGACATATGTTGCTGACCCTAGAATATGTTTCAGGAACTTAATTATGTTCTGGACTGGTAGAGGAAAACAGAGGAAGTAGACTTGTTATGTATTCTTTACAGAAAATAGGTTGACATGAATTATATGTTTTTTAAAAGTATTTCCATTTAACTAACATAATGTCAGCATTTTCAAACTTGGCTACCCAAAATCCACATTTAGGGGGCAAAATAGAAAGTTTGAGAATTAGAGGTGTATGGTGCTTCAGTGAAGCCAACAGGAACTTTGGACCAGTTATTTAGATGTCTAAGGCTCCTGATAAACATTCATTTGAAGGCACAATGGGATCTGATCTCTAATCCCAACAGTCATGCCTCCTGCCATGCCACATGTGCATGGCAGGAGACAATTGTGGGATCAGGGCTCAGATCCCAAACATGCCATATTGCTGATACAGGGGGAGCCCCAGATCATGATTAATTGTTTAATTCTGTCTTAAGTATGCCTGCCTGGGACCTAATTAGTCAGGATATAGGCACTTCACTTCAGGCACCTGGCTTTGATTATTCAATGTATTGCTGATGTGGCTGTTTTAGAGAGAGATCTTATTTTGGTGTTCTGACTTGACTTTGTTTGAAGTACATTGAGAGCTTTCTTGTTTCCTGATGCTTCCTCAGTCCTGATAAAATAAATGTATAGGGTAGTGATGACAACTTTTCCTGTTCCGAAAGTCTAAGGTTCCTTATTTCAGTTTTCTGTCTCGATATCAACAGGATATGCCTCTTCCTCATTTGTGTGATGTGGTTGCAGACATCAGTAGATGTCACAGGCGTGGGTTTTCCTTTTTTTTTTTTTTCTA